AAGGCACCATGGGGGGGCGCAGAGTTCAGAGAGGGTGTTCAGCACGAGTGTTAAGTAGACAAAAATCAAGAGTTCAGAGAGGGTGGAGCGAGACCATTTCAAGAGTTTTAAAACAAATCAAAAAAATCTTCCAAAATGAATATTGCAGTGAAAGGAAATACACTGCTTTCTTAAGACGGAACCTGGTGGCAGTAAATGCAATGAAAACAGTAGGGGGCCCAAAATTGAGCCCTGTGGAACACCATACGACAATGTCGCAGAGTGGCACCAAGGCTAACACAAAATGTCCTGCCTACCAAGTAGGATCTAAACCACACTAGAGCGCAACCACTAAAGCCAGCCTCACACACAAATGCGTTAGGAACAAATACAGATACAGTAGCACATTTTTGTTTTCATCCTGAAATGTTATTCAACATTCCTAACATTTTGTGAGTAGTGTAATTGAAGTTACTGAAGTACTGATTGTGAAGGCCCTGAGCAAATTAGATTGACATGGCAACACGATGAGGCTGAAATCTGATTGCACAAAACCATCCAACGTCCACGTCCTGGAAGCTGTGCAGCTCAGAGAAGGCTACAAAATGAAGAAAGTAAACTGTTGAGAATACAATTTCAAGGAAGTAATACTAGAAATTAAGTTGTAAATGTACAAATTAGGTCAGCACTTCTGACATTGTTTACGCCATCTCACATCATTATGTTGTTGTCGAAGCCTGACGAGAAGAAGCTCATTGCACAAATCTCAACTTGTGTAAGGAACAGCGTGTCATTCCAAAACGACTTTTGCCCTTGGCTGCGCTTGCCTGGTGCTTTTCCAACTGCGCCACGAGCAGGTGATGTCACCGGGCAAGGCGGGCACCCCCCCCTCACAACGTGCTGAGTCACCGTCACGAGAAGCTACGTTGTCTCGCAGTTGCGCAATGTGGCCCTGAGGTGTCACGTGATACTTCAAAAGTTGCAAAACAACCCCTTTGTCAAAGGATGAAAAACAATCATGGGTCGGATCACATTTCTTCAGTGTGTCATCATTCAAATTCAACAACATAACTCTGACTTTTTCGTCCGCTAGCTTCATGCTAACACATAATGTTAGGTTCATTCACAGGTCCCCCCGCCTCTCGTCCACAGTCAGCCGGGATGGGCTCCAGCTCACCTGTGACCCTAATGAGGACAATCAGCATCGAGAATGGAAGTGCAGACTCGTTAGCATTCTGTCAACGAATGTACAAATCATAAAAAATAACTTGTGTAAACCACAACAAACACAAAATGATGTATCCACCCATAACTTTGATGAAGGCTGGAATGAAGATTACTACATGAGTCTGGCAGGTGTGTCCCTGAACAACATTTGGCCAATACGTCTTCAGCGCACAATGAATTCTCTTATTTATTAATTTTATTATTATCGATGTTAACTTATTGTCATTTCAGACATCTGTTGTGCCCTGCGATTGGCTGGCAACCAGTTCAGGGTGTTCCCTCGCCTACTGCCCGAAGTCAGCTGGCGCCAGCACGCTTGCGATCCTTGTAAGGAAAAAGCAGATTAGAAAATGGATGGATGGAGTTGTGCAGGCTGAAGGTTACAGTAAAAGTGGAAAAAGTTTATATATGATTTATCTTGGTCTTTTTTTTTTTTTTTTAACGCATGACAAAAACATGGCATTTGAACAGGGGTGTGTAGACTTTTTATATCATGTGAGAACACATTCAACACTGTGCTAAGTCAACACGGTTCAGCATAATTGGGGAAATTGGGGGTGGGAGGTGGGGTGGGGGGGCTAAAGTTTAAACAAACTCCAGAGTGGCGATTTAAAAATAACCCAAAACAGCAAATAGTCAGTTGCGGATTCCAAGTATTACCCCGCCCCCGATCCTTGTGGGCCTCTGTGAATCCAGTTGGCACTGTGTGAAAGGTTGCGTGGCGTGTGACTCAACAGTGTGACACCTTGGACAAGGCTCATTTCAAATCGGGGTGGGGTAGCGCAGATCGTCCCCCTTGAGGCTTCCGGCGAAAGTGAATCCTAGAAAATTTGTAGGTCAGAGTTCAGGTGCAGCTTTTTATCTGGGAGATTCTAAAATAGAGCAGAATTCCACACGGGGTGGAGGGGATCGAGTGTGCACATTGAATGGCGCCGCATAGTGTGAACCGGGAATATGTTGCATAAGCCCAGAGAACATGTCAAAATCAGCACATTCTTCAAATTTTGAAAGTCGAAGGTAACTTTTAGTGCAAGATATGCGACTTTGCAATGGTTGGTTTAGGGTCAAAAAACTGATTAAGCTGATAAAAAAAAAGAAAAAGAAAAAGTGCAACATGAAAGAAAACATGGCACATATTAAAAGGAAAATGATTTGGTGCACTCCACCCAAAACGTCTTTCAACGTTTACTCCCTCATCATAGTCCATCTCACACCACTCTCTCGACAAACGTTATTGACACCAAAGCACTGAAAGGCAAATTCCATTTCAGGGTGGATTTTTTTTCACATCGAGCTTACTGTTTGGGTTTGCAAAAAAAATGTAGACAGAAATATTACTCTAGCATCAACATTACAAGTTCTGGTCCATTGCATCTCTAGTACTTAGCCTACGTCCCACCCCCCCGCCTCCCCCCCCCAATATGGGAACGTGTCAGGCGGTGTAAAGTGTCATGATTCATCAGTCACAGTCATATGATAGTCCTAATTAAATGTAATTAAAAATACTTTTTTTTTTTTTTTTAGTTTCACTGTAATGATGAAGGCTCATGATGGAAAATTCCATCGTTAATGGATGATATTTTAATGAAGCTTCAATAAAAATGCCACGGTGGCCGCGGATTCGGTTTCAAACAAGGCTTAATAGAATGTGTCGGTTGTCCATCCCTGATGAAATGTTTCCAGTTTGGAATCACAACTTTGACTGCAGTCATCGCAAAGGAAAAAAAAAAAGGCAGCGTCACTGAATCACAAGTCTGTTTTGTACATTTCCAGAAGTGGCTGCGGCCACCACAGGGAGCAAAGTGCCACTACAGTCCGCGAACTCAGAACCCGCCCTCCGCACCCACCCAACAG